AGGATGATGAGGAGGAGGAGGAAGAGGGGGAGGAGGAGAAGGGGAGGAGGAGAGGGAGGAGGTGAGGAGGAGGCGGAATGAGGAGGAGGAGGAGAGGAGGAGGAGGAGGAGGAGAGGAGGAAGAGGAGGAAGAGGAGGAGGAGGAGGAGGAGGAGGAGGAGAAGAGGAGGACGAGAGGAGAAGAAGAGAAAGAGAGGGGGGGAGGAGGAGCAGGAGGAGGAGGAGGAAGAGAAGGAGGAGGAGGAAGAGAAGGCGGAGGGGAGGAGGAGGGAGGAGGGAGGAGGCGAGGAGGGAGAGAAAAGGAGGAGGGAGGAGAGGGAGGGAGGGAGGAGGGAGGAGGGAGGGGGGAGGGAGGGAAGCAGGGAGGGGGGAGGCGGGAGGGAGGAGGGAGGACGGAGGACGGAGGAGGGGAGACGGGAGGAGGGAGGAGGCAGGAGGAGGGAAGATGAGGAGGAGGAGGAGGAGGAGGAGGAGGAGGAGGAGGAGGAGGAGGAGGAGGAGGAGGGAGAGGAAATGGAGGAAGAGGTGGAGGAGGAGGAGGAGGAGGAGGAGGAGGAGGAGGAGGAGGAGGAGGAGGAGGAGGAGGAGGAGGAGGACATGCAGCCCAGTGTATCCTGAGGTTCGCTCCGCCCGCCTAACAAACGGGGACGGGGGGCGCGCCTGGCCAAGGAGTCGCTGGCGACGCCGAGGGCGAGGGCGGCGGCCGGCGCGGCCGCGATGACAGACCAGGTGGGGAGCAACGCAAGGCAGAGGCAGCACTCAGGAGCAAAGGGCGAATGGGGGGAGACAGCAAGGACAGGACGGACTGTGCATCAGAGCAGCGTCTGGCACCGGAGCAGCGTCTGACGTCGTGTAGCAAACGGCGCGATCACATGTGGCACAGCAGACAAGATCTGAGAGCGGGCGGACACGCACATGGGACAGGACAGAATCTGCTTACGCCCAGGTGTCAAACTCAATGCCTCGAGCCGACTCGATCACTCAGGCGTGGCGATGGCTGTGGGGGGGTGGGGGGAGTGCAGTAGGGAAGAAGGAGGCGACGGGACCAGCCTCGGGGTAAGGCATGGAGACGATCCATTGCTCAATTGTGCCTGTCCAGCAGACAATGACGAGGAGGAGGAGGAGGAGGAGGAGGAGGAGGGAACCAGGGAACCGAGGAACTGGGGAACGCGGGAGGGAGGGAGGCAGAGGTGGAGGAAGAGGACCAGCGACGGAGAGGAGTGAGGAATGAGGGAGAAAGAGAGAGAGAGAGAGAGAGACGGAGCAGGCGGAGGAGGGTTCCCACATGAGGCCGGGGAGGAGGGGCCCTCGCCACCTGCAGCCGCGCCCCTCGCGCGCGGCTGGACGAGCGCTTCTTGCCCGCGCCGCCGCCGCGGCGGCGCTGCGCCGGGGAGGGGCCCCGCTCTCGGGGCGACGCTCCGCGGAGGGCTCCCCAACGGAGGCCTTCGGGGGACTTCTCCTTCGAGGCCCCTTCATTGGTGCGGGCTCCGGCACATCCTTGGCGTAGCCCTCCTGATTATGGAGAGCTCCTCCTCCTCCTCCTCCCTCTCCCCTCCTCCTCCTCCTCCTCCTCCACTCCTCCTCCTCCCCGACTCCTCCTCATCCTTCCTCTCCTCCTCCTCCTCCTCCTCCTCCCTCCTCCCTCCTTCCTCCTCCCCCTCCCCCCTCCCTCCTTCTCCTCCTCTCCTCCTCCTCCTCCTCCTCCTCCTCCTCCTCCTCCTCCTCCTCCCGCCCTCGCGCCAGCACCACAGTGGAGGCACTCCGTGGAGGCCTCCCAGATCGGACCAGAGCAGGTGGGGTCTGGGGAAGTCAAGGTCGAGCCTGTGTGCCCGCGAAGGGGCGTCCGCTTATAGGGTAGAGTCGGGTGAAGACTAACACGCGCTCGTGCGCTGCGCAAGATCTCCTGTCTGACTCCCTGCGGCAAGTTTGGGATCGCCGACTGGGGTGAGGGGATTGTGGATTGAGCCGCATCGGCGATGCATCGGCGACGGCGAGACAGAGAAGAGAGGGCTCCGAGTCGAGCCGCATCGCCGATGCAACGGCGATGTGGCGCCGATTCTGTGACCCCACCTGTTTCGAACCCCTCTGGAAGGTCTGGAACTCCTGGGGGGAGCCACGCGGAGGGCCTTCCTGGGGGGGTCCCTTTCGGAGCCCATCCTGGGGGCACTCCAGGTTCAGTGTCTTGGGGCTGTGCGTCCTGTCTGCAGCGCACCTCGGAGCAAAAACATAACACCACCGTCATGCATTAAGTATGCTCAACTATCGGTTGTTGCAAGTCCCTTGGCGGAAACATTGCTGCTACAGCCATGAGGATGGCACCATGAGACGCGCAATGATCTATAATGATCTAATGTGCAAGACTGGGAGGGTCTTGCATGCGGCCGTCCTGGGCTGGGAGGGGGGAGGGAGAGGGCGGGGAGGGGGATGGAGGGAGAGCAGTGGGATGAAGGAAAGGTGGGATGGCGGGAGGGAGTGGGAGGGAGGGAGGACGAGGAGGGGGATGGGGGATGGGAGAGGAGGAGGCCGGGGTGCGGACGAATTAATCACGCTCGTACGCCTCTGGTATGCACCATGCAGCAAGGAGAAGAAGCATGCTGTGGTGGAGGGAAAGAGGACTGCGACAAGGAACAAGAGGAAGGAGGAGGAGGGAGGAGGAGGAGGAGGAGGATCAGGACGAGGAGGAGGACCAGGGAAAGGAGGAGCCCTTTTCACGTAGAGTACAGTGAGCGTTGAGCAAGGTCTGATGCAAACGCACACTCGCGAGTGAGGTCTGCTGTGCCGCGGGGTGCCGACGCTCTACAACAACAAAAAAAACACCTCGGCACCCGGGCCATCCGCGCTCGAGCACCGCCCCGCGCTGCGGAGGAGGAGGAGGAGGAGGAGGAGGAGGAGGAGGAGGAGGAGGAGGAGGAGGAGGAGGAGGAGGAGGAGGGAGGAGGGAGGAGGAGGAGGAGGAGGAGGAGGAGGAGGAGGAGGAGCAGGAGGAGGAGGAGGACGAGGCTGCCACCGACGAGGAGGAGGAGGAGGAGGTGGAGGAGGAGGAGGACGAGGCTGCAGTCGGCCCAGCGGCCGAGAACGGGGGACACGCGACGGGAGAAGAGCGGCAGCGGCTGTGCATGAGCCACCGGCGATGGCGGAGGCTCTCGAAGAAGAAAGCGAGAGTGGAAACCTCGTGTCCGGCGTCGTGCCAGCTTTCACGCAAGGCACCGCGGCCTTCCAGCTTGCGGTGCGGCTGTAATCGCCATTGGGCTGCACAGCATCACCAACACGGACCGCCCCCTGCTTGCGCGCAAGCCGCACTGAAAGATCCCGCGCTGAAGTGCCGCGCGAATTGAAGTCGCATCAATACCATGTGTGAAGCTGTTGCTCTGAATCGAGCACCAGTCACGCAGACACGAAGAACGGCAGAAAGTAAACATGATGTTCTGCTGCGTTGCAAGATTTGCTTTGGCGACCTGAAAGGCCATGCTTGGGTGAGACCTCCGACTCAACACCCGCCCACCCCTCCTGCCGGGTGCGACGAGGCGTGTGCGACATGTCGCTGTGACTCTCCACCGCCGCGGCCCCTCCATTGGATTCGGAGGCTCCTGAGA